CGTATATCTTCCGCTGATCTTCATTCATCGTAGATAAGTATCCCATAAGATCAGATGACAACTTTTCTTTATCATAGTTCAACTCCTCAACCAATAAATTGTTTTGAAATGTATTGAGTGGATGTCATCTGGAAATGGCATACAACTAAATTCCCTCAAAGACCGTCCATTTGAATTAAGCAACTTTTCAATCTCAATCACACATAAATTTTTTAGGTCTTCTTGAGAAATTATAAGCTCTGAAAAAAGAAATAGAAATAATGGAACTTATTTAATTCTACAAAGTTCTGAATAAATATTGTAGGTTTCAAGACAATGCATTATGTACAGATTAATATGTTAAAAAACTATTTCTTTATTGATATACCTTGATTACGCAATAGTCTCCTTTGATCAAATAAAATTCCATCCACCAGGCGTTCCCATGATTTTTCCCAAACAACTTACGGGCGACTCATGGTATTTGTCACTAATAATGTGACGAACAACTTTCTAAGCTGATTCCCAGAACCTAACTCAGCAGCTTCTTTTATACCTTCAATAAATTCCCTATCATCAGCAAGTACCCCCAATGCATCGCATGCCTCCTCGAATGAGTTATACAGAACATTGTTAACTGTCTTCAAGCTTTCATAACTTGTACACCCCGCGATAGTTAATAGTATTCTCAAGTAGTATAACTCTCCGGTTCCTACAGGCATGTATTGTAAGCGGCCTATTGATGGTATTTGTTTTCTCGGATGCCATTCTCGCTCCTTGTTATTGAACACAAAATGTCCTAGAAATTCTGCATACGTTAAATTTTCCCCCGCTTTGTACTTTGAATTGGCAATCATCCAAGCCTCAAACATTGAAGGCTTGTAAAGATTTTGTCTGGCAACATCTGTCAATTTTTGTTGCTCCTTAAAAGTGACAAATTTCTGTCTTGTGAGATGGAAATTCAACCTCAATACTGCTGGCCATCTGTGGTGTATAAGAGTTCTCCAAGATGTTTCACACCATAAATATTAAATAGGAGGCTATAAAAATTAAACTCCACACCATAAAATATGTTAAAAAACAGGAGGCTATAAATTTGAAATTAAGGTCTGAAAAATAAGGACAGACTCAAGTCGTCAATACTTTAATAAAAATATGTTGTTTATGGTGCTGAAAATAGAAGATTCAAGGACAGCAGACTTATTACACTTTAAGAACGGCAGAGTTATTATTACATAAATTATAAGAATTCCTTCTTAGGCACTATTAAAAAAAATATAGTCTCATGGGTTTAGGCACTGGAGAAACTTCAACATGAATAGGCACTAAAAAAACTAAACAGACTATAGTGTGTTTTGTTTTTTAATACTTAGAATACAGACTATATTGTGTTTAGTTTTTTCAATACTTTGAATCTGGAGAAACTTCAAGAGACTAAAAACTAAACTCCACACCATAAAATATGTTCAAAAACAGCAGACTATAAATCTGAAAATAAGGGCAGGCTCAACTCTTCAGTACTTTAATAAAAAAATTATTTTTTATGGTGCTGAAAATAGAAGCTTCAAGGAAAGCAGACTCATTATACTTTAAGAACAGCAGACTTATCATTCTTCATTTATTTATTCAATATGGGCAATTGAAGAATTTTGGTTTTTTATACAGATTAGTATAATTGTGTTTTGAAAGTAAAAGCAAAATAACCTTCCAGCCACTAAAAAATTATTAGAAATCCTATTAAACATAAATTTTATATTGTATGCAAAATACGAATAAGAGTACAATTCTTACATGTTCGTCCATGAATATAATCTCAATAGAATTCGTCATCTTCTCATCATTATACACTGGCATCTTGTACAGTCGAGTCACACGAACCAAAACTCTCCAGCATTCACTTGATGGATTGATCTTCAGCAAAGGGTGGATCGGTTTGGAAGACATGTCGATTAATCAGATGTTTTAGGTATGAACGCGGCTTACAATGAAAAAATAGATTGATGAAATGGATTACTTAAAATTTGATTTATATATGACCTAATATAAATCGCAAGAAGGAAACTTACAACAATAAGGTAGAAAATCCAGAGATTTGAACCGGAAAATTCAAAAGAAGAACAAATTTCGCAGAGACTAATCATCATAAGAAGGAAAGAATGCCAATCATCCCAAAAACAATTATGATTTTTTAAGAAAAGGGAAAGTTACCTATTCTTGGTACCGATCGTTGGAATCTCCATGAAGAAGGACCGTGAAGAAGGAAAGAGATTAATTCCAATCACATATTCTCTGAAATCTCACGGTGGAGCCATTCGAAGATGAATATCGCAGGGAGGTGCAATCGAAGGAAAGTGCTGCTGATGTCTAGCTTCATTCAGACTTGCAGATGAATTCCACACAGAGTAGCCCAAATAAAAGAAGCCCAAAGTAATGAATCATTATCCAACCCGTTTGAAATATTGAGTAAGTCCAATATGATGACATGACTTATGATGTGTCAAAAAAAATCCTCGTCAGCATGACAAATGTCAAAATTCTGGGAGTTAAACTCCCAAATATAATATATAAAGGATATATATATATATATATATATATATATATATATATATATATATATATATATATATATATATATATATATATATATATATATATATATATATATACATATACACTCCGTATATATATATAGAGGATAGTCTCCCTCCTCAATCCCTTCCCTTCTCTCCCAATCCCTCATTAACCACGCACCGTCTTCCTTCCTGTTTACAATCTGCATCCACATCAGCGACATCATCACCCACCGGAGATCAGCTCCCCTACGCGACGACCGGAGGCAGCTAGGGAGACACCGGGGATCTCAACGCGAAGGCATCACCTATCTGTCGCGCAACGAGAAAAGTGTACATATTATCACACTAGTCAGCAGTATTTTCTAGGATTCGGGGCTGAGAAAAATCCATCATTTACCTAGAAGAGTGTGTGGGAGGCAAAAGGTGCGATCCAGGTGATATGATCACTCAATTTAATTTTCTCACGCTTCCTGCAATTTGCTCGAATCTTTTATCTGAATTGCAAGCCTACTTTGATATGGATATATAAGGAATTGGGTTGATGTGCTTGATGTTGTTAATCTGTCATGGTAGATGCTAATTCGATTTGTGTTCTCAGATGGCGAACGTATCTCAGATCCGCCCTAACAACTCAGCACTTATTGCAATGATTGCTGATGAGGTAAAAAGACCGTTACTTTCTGTATACTCTGCAAGTATTTAGTTTAAACAGATTAAAATGGCCCTAAACTGGCAAGGAGCTTGGTTCCTTATGTAAGGTTTTAATCTTTTGGGTTTGAACATCTAATGGAGCATGCTTTAGTAGAACTCCTATAGCTCTCAAAATGTAGTCTACTGTCCCACTCTTGATTAATTGGTGGCTATCAACCAGTAATAGAGGTCAAGCAAATACTCCGTAATTAGGATTATAATATTCCTAAATCATTCTTTCTATGCTCCTCCCTTTGTCCTGCTATTTTTGGGACAACAGGAAAATGATACTATGATACGCAAATTAAGCGGAATAGTGTGGTTGATATTAAAGTTAATGCATAAAAAGGTAAGAATAAATGTAAGTCACACAAATGTTACGAAGTACTACCTCCGTCCTGCTATATTTGTCCAGTTTTGACTTTTGGAATGTTCATCTAAGCACTTTGACTCATCAAATTCTTTCAATGTGTAAGCCTAAATATAGTCATGTGTGATCTTGTTTGATTTGTCTTAACATATAGATTATTAATATATAATTTCTATAATTTTTTAATATACAAATTTCAAGATAAAGTGGATTAAAGAAGTGTATTGGATAGTGTGTAAAAATGAAAGTGGACAAATACTCTGGGGCGGAGGGAGTACTAAATATCCACTCAATTTTTTGACACCGTCCTTGGTGTCGTATGATGGCACCGAACCATTTAGAATCCTACGGTGTCCTGTTGGGTCAGGCTCCGTGTCCTACCCTACAAACCCCTTTTCCCCACCTCTAGCCCCAGCTCCCCCTGCCTGATACTGTAGCAACTCTGCCTCAAGCAGGCACTAAGGTTGTGGGCCTTGGTGGGGATGGGGTGGGGAGGGGGGGGGTTAGAGGTGACAGGAACTGGTCCCGGGCTCAAAAAAGCACCGTAAGCCCCAGTACCATATTATGACACCAAAGTTCAATGTCAAAAGAATCGTGGTGAAGGTAAAAAGGAACATAAATAGTGATACAGTGAGTGTAAGTGTAACTAGACCTGGCAAAAAATGATCCGACCTGTTTTTGACCCGAAACCCGACCCGAAAATACTGGGTTTTGAACAAAGGTTTTGCTGACCGAACCCGAAGTTGACCGAACCCAAAATAACCCGCTAAAAATGGGTCAAACCTGACCGAACCCGAACCCGACCTGACCGACCCGCTAATCTAAGATTTTTTCAAAATCATATATTTTAATATGAAATATAGTGTTATAAAAATAAGATTATGATTATATTTCTTTGCTTACAACTCATTTTTTGTGTATAGATTTATAACATCATAACAAATTTTAATGATGTCGCATACTTATCTTACATTTTTTCAAAATTTCTACATATTTAATTTTTTTATTCGTAATATTGACACTAAGTCATAAAACTTACTTAAAATTTCAAAAAAATAAATGAAACTCATAACCCGTTGGGTCAACCCGAACCCGATGACACTAGGTCATGAACATGTAGTTATCAACCCGAACCCGAACTTAACCGAACCCGAAGTAACCCGAACTCAAGGTGACCGAACCCGAACCCGACCTGACCGACCGATTTGACCGATTTGCCAGGTCTAAGTGTAACTTATTAGAATACTTGGGTAGCATCATGGTTGTTGTACTGGCCACCAACTTTGGATTGTGTGCTTGTTTTAACTGTAGTATTGGGAAACTCAAATGCCAGAAAGCATAGTACTCCCTTCATTCCTAAAGTTCTTGTGACTGCTGAAAAAGCAAATGTTGTAAATATTTTGGGACAGAGGGAGTATAATGTTCTGGTGAATGCCTGACCGGTATTTGTACCCCTCATAAACTGTTCATTTTTTGTTTTTTAATCACATGACCTCCCTTTACTTGTTTTATATGCATTTTATCCTGTGAATTAAGTTTCAGCTTTATAAGACATGGTGCTTTGCCAGAATATCCAGAAATTAATTCAAAAATTTCTCAAACGTTAATTAGGTGTTACTTTTCATGCAGTTAGTCTAGCACGAATACCTTTAATTTCCGAGTGATATTGAAATAATTGACCAAGTCGCCATATTTGATTTTTCTGAAGAAAATGTGTTTCGTAACATTCATTTCATCCAAATAAGTTATTGAAAAGCTGTGTGTTCTGCCGAGAAGTAGAATAAAAAAGTAAGTTAGACAAGACTATCATATGGAACCTAATACTCTGTATGTGATTAATTTCATGATTAGCTATTACAGGATATAGATCATATTAGTAACTTTATAGTTTTTGTTAGTAATTTAGAGATCAGATACTCAGATGTAATTTTGATGATATTAACACTTGTTTGATGAATGGTCGAACTCAAGGAAGCACTCATGTCTTTGTTTTTTCTCATAATAATAAATTTGTGCTCATGAAATATACTTTTTTTGTCCTCGTGAAATGTAGTTTTTTTGCCATCATGAAATGTACTTTTTATTGTCCCCATGAAATGTACTTTTTTAAATGTCCTCATGAAATGTATTTTCTTGGTCTTCATAAAATGTACTTTTGTTTAAGGTGATTTTTAAAAACTGATTTTGATAATACTAGTATTTATAAAAAGCAATTCACTATTATATTAACAAACTATTTAACATTTGCCAAAGCTTTATAGAAAATTATTTTAATTATTGGAGAAGTAAATGTAATGGTTTACAAATAAATGGGGAATATAATTTAATATCACAAGAAAGGAATAAAAAAGGAATTTTAATCATGATGCTTAGTTTGCTGGGTTTCAATTGCTAAGACTTCTTAATCCAGCATTTGTTCAACATTAGACATGAAAATGAATATCACCACAACCAAAATGCTCGTGCATCATGAATATAATAAAAAAGTCTACTGCCCCATTCTTCTCAATCTAAATGAAATTTTAAATATTGTTGGGAAGTTGGGGATTTTGAATTCCTCAAAGATAAGCAATTGAAATTTGTTGGGATATAAACTCCCACCAACCGAGACATGATGTTAAGTAGGAAATGTATTTCTTTCCTTCCAGCGAGACATGTTAAGTGGAATATAAATTTCTTGGAATAAAAACTCAAAAATAATTTGTGGAAATGTATTTTTTTCCCTCCAGCAAGACATGATGTTAAGTGCTTTTGAAATATCCATAAGTGGCGTGGTCAAAAATGCAGGAAGTACCTTTAGTGCTTTTTTTGTAATACTACCTCCGTCCCAGTGTATTTGTTTGGTTTGACTTTTTTGACTTTTTCGAGTCAAAAAAAAATGAACCTTGGACCTCAATTTAATAAGAAATGTGATGTATATTATTATAAAAATGATTTCATGAGATATATCTTATAGATAATCTTCAAAATTTTATTTAATTATATTAATATGCAATAGGAATTTAAAGTAATTGAAGATTAAAATTCATCTTGTTTTAACTCAAAAAATCAAATTGGAAAAAATCAAACCAGACGAATACACTGGGACGGAGGGAGAAATATTTTCTCCTCATTTTGTTTTGGGGATTCGAGGTGATACTATTGGATGTATTAAATAAAAACATGTGGGTAAAGTGAAACTACAATCCAAGTTTTGACAAATCTGTTCGTTCTAGAGAAATTAAAGAATTTTTTAAGCAGTTCCTTTTTAATGAAGCTTTCTTGTAATCTGGACAACAACAACAACAACCCAGTTGAATCCCACTACAGTAGGGTCTGGGGAGGGTGTGTGTACGACCCCTACTCGAAAGTAGGGAGGCTGTTTCCAAGAGACCCCCGGCTCAACCTGCACAAAAAATATGGTAGAGAACACAATATAACAGGATAACAAGATATAACAGGATATAACAAGATAAAGCACCAAACATCCTTTAACCCTCTAACCTACACCTTTCCAAGATCCAACTTTGGCATTTTTTCCTTGCATATATATAACACAACTACTTTATGAGAACTATATAAATTTCCATTCTATTGTTGCATCCACTTTGTGAATTGACTGAAACATAATTTCACATGACTACAAACTTGCAGTTTGGCATGGCTTAATTAAGTGTAATTCCGCGTACAATGCAGTCAAATTTATTTCTATTATAAATCACATGCTTTGATTATATTTATAGTGCATTTAGTCATGTCTTACCAAACTACACCAAGGTGCATGAGTTTGTTTCCATGTGATATATTGTGTGTTTTTCGTTTTCTAAGTACATATATGAATATAGGATACAATTACTGGGTTTTTATTGGCTGGAGTTGGCAATGTGGATCTGAGGAGGAAAACAAACTACCTTATTGTGGATTCAAGTAAGTTTTAATTTTGAATTGATATTTAGGTGCCATAAACAAGACAATCTAATACACTTTGTTTCTCATCAGACCTGCTTAAGTACATTAAAGTATAGTTGTTTTCATGGGTATGTTTTAGAAACCACGGCGAAACAGATTGAAGATGCTTTCAAAGAGTTTACTACAAGAGAGGACATTGCAATTGTGTTAATTAGCCAATATGTAAGTATTCTCTAATTTGCTGAAAATTACTACTCCCTCCGTCCCCTTGGATTTGTCCACATTTGACTTTTGGAACTGTTCATCTAAGCACTTTGACTCATCAAATTCTCTCAATGTGTAAGCCTAAATATAGTCATGTGTGATCTTGTTTGATTTGTCTTAACATATAGATTATTAATATATAATTTTTATAATTTTTTAATATACAAATTACAAGATAAAATGGATTAAAGAAGTGCATTGGATGGTGTGTAAAAATGAAAGTGGACAAATACAGGGGGACGGAGGGAGTATTCCATTGCTGAACNCTCCGTCCCCTTGGATTTGTCCACATTTGACTTTTGGAACTGTTCATCTAAGCACTTTGACTCATCAAATTCTCTCAATGTGTAAGCCTAAATATAGTCATGTGTGATCTTGTTTGATTTGTCTTAACATATAGATTATTAATATATAATTTTTATAATTTTTTAATATACAAATTACAAGATAAAATGGATTAAAGAAGTGCATTGGATGGTGTGTAAAAATGAAAGTGGACAAATACAGGGGGACGGAGGGAGTATTCCATTGCTGAACTTCTGTTCTTTACATGATCTGTGAACATATCAAGTACTCCGTATATATAATAAAATATATGCCCGTTTTCTTGAGCTGATGGATTGATGCTTCTCCAATTGAATCAATGTTCAGGTTGCCAACATGATAAGATTTTTGGTGGATGGTTATAACAAGCCAATTCCGGCCATATTGGAGATTCCCTCAAAGGACCATCCCTATGATCCAGCTCACGATTCTATCCTTTCCCGAGTGAAGCACCTATTCTCCACGGAATCTGTGGCATCCGGAAGACGCTGAGATATAGCTTGAACTGAAAGTCTGTCTTCTTTTTTATCTTCTTTTGTTCTTTCCAAGCGTACTTTGTTGTGTCTTCTTTGCCTGTTTTGTTTCGCTTGCAAGTTTAATAATCCTTTCACTATTAATGGCGACACTTTTTTTTGTTAAATATATTGTCGACTAAACAAGCAGGCTTGGATTTTCATTAAAATGAACACACTCCAACATCTGAAGATGAACTCAGAGGCTGTGGGTAGATATTATTATTATTGTTGTAATCTACAGGTATGAGATATTATGCTTCTCCAATTGAATCAACGTTCAGGTCTCTCCAATGCTTCTCCCTACTGATAAGTTTGTTCACTTTTCCTTTTTTGGGCGGTCCTGATGAGTGTGTCCACTTTCTTAATTTGGTAAATAATTAAAGGGTAAGTTTACTATATTGCCCCTAATTTAGCACAGTTGCTCTCACCCACCTCACACCCATCATCTACTCTTCCCATAGAAATGAATGGGATGGAATAGAACTCTCCAATTCTAATTCATTTTTTACACTACGAATTTTAAATCTACATATTTTTGTGCTACCAAACAATAGAATTGGAATTAAAGTAATTATTTTCAATTCCATGGCTTGAATTCCGTATACCAAACGGAGTTTTAGGGTCCGTTTGGTATACGGAATTGATGGAATTGGAATTGAATTGGAATTGAAATTCCATGAGATTCAATTCCATAGAATTGAATTCTGCCAATTCCAATTCATTTTTTGCACTATCAATTCCAAGTTCACATAATTTTTGTGCTACCAAATACTAGAATTGAAATTGAACCCCTCAATTCTAATTCAACAGTTTGAATTTTGTGTACCAAACGGGGCCTTAGGGTATTTTAGGAAGGGGAATTTAGTCTATGATGCACATTACTTGTAGGTCACCCACAAGTTGTGTTCTTCATGCAGCTTCAATCATTTTCTTTAAAATGGTTGTTGAAGTAGCTAAAACATATTTTCAAAGAATATGTAATAAGCACGTTCAATTGCAAATACATTTCTCAAAGTCAATTGCAAAGGCATTTCTTAAATTGAACATGGAACATTTCTGTCACACATATTGTCTTCTTTAGTTATAAACTAACATTGTTTTCAACATATACATTTCCCAACTTGTTATTGTTCACTAGTTTTACAAGCATGTTGTAGGGAGTAAATTGTTTGCAAAAAAAAAAAAGGCTTTATAAAAACTTCATTGTCCTAAAAAAAACTGTCTTAAATAAAAGGTGTTCATCCCAACATGGAGGATTTTATATGCATTGCACCCTAAACATTTTTATTATCTCACCCATACAGTATTAGAGGGTAACCCACACATAATTTGAAAGTTTTGGATCACATTGAGTGTATGATGATTCTTTAGCAGCTAGCCTCTACTAGCTCATCAACATTTTTTCTACCTTGTTGCAATGCTTGAATTGCTCTGAAGTAGCCCAAGTCAATGACATCTAGGTCCGGACTATTTGGTGGCCGATTCGATCATGCGATTATGATGGATTTGTAATTAATTTTTTTATCAAAATGAATTGGAACCTGAAATTATATGGAGAAATTGAATACGGAGTATATTGTTTTTTATTTCGAATATCGTACCTTTTATTTTTGATTATTTTTTATCCTATTAGCATCACAGGGTATACTTTTTTAAAGACATACAGAGTGATTTTAATTTTATCACATTGAAAATATATGATTTTATTTTACATATTTTATATCCCGTATTACAAACACATTCAAACGGGAGGTGTATGAAGAGTGATACAATTTGATAATAATTTGTCTTATTGAATATTGAGAGATGTCCCTATATATAGGGATTACAAGAGAGAGTCCTATTCCTAGTAGGAAAGGAATAAAGTAATTATGATAATACAAGAATAAGGAAACTAAATAATATTAGGAGTCTTCCTATTATCCCCCCGCAAGCTGATCAACGGAAACGAGGGGCAGCTTGGAACACAAATAATGGAACGGAGTCGGCGGAAGCGGTTTTGTCAAGATGTCAGCAAGCTGCTCAGAAGAAGGAACATGATGTGTAGTCATAGTGCCAGCCATAACCTCGTCTCGAACAAAGTGACAGTCAGAGCCAACATGCTTCATGCGATCATGGAGAACAGGATTCTTGGTGACACAGATTGTGGACTCATTATCACAATAAATCTTAGGTTTCGTAGGCGGAACATGCAGAGCATCCATAATGTAACGAAGCGACATCGCCTCTGCCACCCCCGCGGCCATAGCGCGATACTCAGCTTCGGTGGAGGAGCGCGAGACGCGAGTCTGTTTTTTTGTGTACCATTAGATAAGATTCGGCCCCAGCATAAGGAGATACCCAGTGGTGGAACGACGATAATCTTTGTCGTTAGCCCAGTCAGAGTCAGAATAAACAGCAAGATCTAGAGAGCCTTTTCTGAACAGAAGGCCATGAGAAGAAGTACCCTTCAAGTAGCAAGATAATTGTTGTTTGAGTGTGTTTGTAACCCACTTAGTGTGCAAGTAGTGTATAATGAGCTTTAGGTTGAACTATAGCGGTCCCTTTGTGTGTGTACTCTTGATTGCTTTTGACATTTGACAAACTTGTATTTATCATTTTTAAAAAAAGTTGTTAACTAGAGCGTGGGAATTAGGAAGTGGGAGGATGGGCGTTCAACTTTATAAAATAACGAGTACTAAGGGTATAATGGTCACTTTCTCTACCTTACTCCACTGATTTGGCCTACGCATAAAATTGAAACTGGACGGGCTCAACTAGATGAAGTACTTTTGCTCTAAGACAATGTTTCGTCCAACTTATTTTTTGTAGTTATTACTTATTATAACTTCAATCACATCATACCAAATCATATATTCAAGAAATCAGATCAGATCAGGCAAATACAACGTGGCTTAAAAACTAAAAAACATATGGTTAACATTTATTTAGAATAGAAAAATATCCAGAATCATATATCGCTTTTCTATTATGAAAAAAAGTAACATGTACGAAGTAAAATTTACTCTTTTCATCTAACAATTTTCTCTCCATATTGACTTTACATGCATATTTAAGATATAAACTAAAATTACTTTTAACTTTTTCTTTTTGCCCTTGGGTATTTAGATAAAATGAATAAAGTAAAAAGTCCAAATGAATAGTAAAAATATGATAGATAGTGATAAATAAGATACGGATGTAGAAGCATGAATAGTCAATAGGGGTAGTAATAGCTTTTTTAGTGTAATAGATTTTCTAAAATAGAAAGTGAGGAGAAAATTTTTGGATGGGCAATAAAAGAAAATGAGAAGAAATGTTTTGGAACAATTTAAAGTTAAATGAGGATTGGATGTGAGAGTAGAAAGATTTGGTTATTGGAGATATGGACGAGAGAATGAAACTTGATGTAAAAGAAGGAAGAGTCCATTTGGTATATGGAATTGATAGAATTGGAATTGAATTGAAATTGAAATTTCATGAGATTAGAATTGAATCCACCAATTACAAGTCATTTTTTGCATTATCAATTCTAAATTCACATAATTTATGTGCTACCAAACACCAAAATTGAAATTGAAGTCCCCAATTCCAATTCCGTAGTTTGAATTTCATGTACCAAATGTGACCTAATAAATCTAATATCATCTTTTTAACATGGATATTTGTCTGAAGATTTTTCAANCCCCCCCCCCCCCCCCCCCCCACACACACACACACATACACACACACAGAGCTGCACATTCTCATAACTTTATTATTGAACAATACATGGTCAAACACACCTTTTCATCTCGTGCTGTCATTTAACAACACCAGCAGAGTCTGTGAACAATTGAACATGGTTAAGCGGCTCAATGGCAGGAAGCCATACAGAAATTCAACAATTGAACACTAGTGATCACAAAGACCATTCCGGGTAGTGTGTTTCTGGGAATTATAACTGAAGAGAACATATGAATGCCTTTTCCCAGCTGTGTTACATAATCAAAACAACATACAATCGAGGGATCCATTTTTGCATTATTTAGAAACATAATCTGACCAGCATTGATCAGCAAGCATCGAGATCACGACATGGAGCAGGCTTTGGCTCCCCTAACAGCGTAGTGTTTCCTCCTTGTGGCCCAGAATTCTGACGTTCTGGGTTTTGTGTGCCACGCTGATGCATTTTTACAAGCACAGAAATTATGAAGAAGATAATGGTTTCATTTATGTATGAATGAATAGTAACAGCTCCAGGAAGAAGGTAATGGTTAGGTTCTTAGGTTCTTACCTGTGGCTTTTCACCTCTTCTAAATGCTTCCACGATTTCTATAGCTCGTTTAGGAGTGAGATCTTCCTGCAGTTGCCAAAGAGAAAATCACAAAGAGTTCTTAGCATGCTTGCTGTAAGCAACTCGGTTTCACATCAAGCTTAGATCCCTACTCTGAAACTGGCACGAAAGATTGAAAATATGACAGAGTTTCAACTTGTAAGAGATCAAAAAGAATGTTTATTTGCTTCATATTTGAGTTTCAGAATTAATTAACTGTATTTTACTAAACATGTCATATAATAACATCAACCGAAGGAAATATGAAGTACTATAAAATCTGGATAATTAGTGGGATACCCCAACATATGTACACCAGTTGTATACCAAAGGCAAAAACAGACATTTATGTCAAAGTCCGCACAGACATAAATGTCTTTGGTGTACATATGTTGGGGTACCCCTAGCATTCCCCATAAAATTAAGATAATGAGTACAAACAGTGAGAAGCACTAACAATTTGTTGCAATACAATTAATACTCACATAATAATTGTAAGTATATCCTTCAGCTCCATTTGAATAGTCGGCAACTGTAATCATAGGAGCATTTACACAGCACCCCTATCCAAGAAATCAATCATATTTATTAATGTGCTCAATTCTAGACTAAATTCAAACATTCAAGCTGATGAATCAAAGTTTGGAAAATACTATACATGTTTTCCTCTTGAGTAAGATATATTTCTTGGGGGTAGGGGTGGAGGAAATGCTTTTTGGGAATTAAGGGTTGGCCTTGGGCATATCTAGTAGCTGGTGAATCAATCACTATTGGAAGTGTTTTATAAGCTATAACCCAGAAGTAGCAACAGTAATGATATCTATCCCCATGAAGATAGTGAATTCGAATTCACTTATACTCTGACAGTACATCACACATTTCACCTCCCACCTGGCAATGAAATAGGCATGCTATGTGGCCTATTCTAATTATATCTCTAGGATACCACAGCCTAAATAGTTCCTGTCATTTATTAACATCTGTCTGTTACATTGTAATGGACTAATGGTTAGCAAACAGAACAAAGCTTGATACCACTAAAGGAAATTGGTTATGAACTTCAAGCAAGTTATAAAACAGGAATCACCATGCATTCCATCTCTCCAACGGAAAACAACCCATCTTTTGTCACTTCTGCAAAACACATGGAATTTCATTGGGAGATCAAAATGCCTTAACAAAAAACTTATGTTATTGCGGGAAAGCAAAAGGTTTGAGTTGTTATGAAATGTCATAACAAACTTACCATTGCGCTTTACTCCAAGGTGTTTCAGTAATGCCCCTTCAATCTCCCTTGAACCACGTATCATACAAGGTGTTGTACCACAAACCAAAAGGTGGTACTTGCCTACCTGAAAAAGATTTATAATTTGGCTTGTCAAGGCAGAGCAGCAAGAAGAAAAATGGATTATATGTGTCATATACTAGGGTCATCTACAAAATCACCTTTGATCGATTGAACATGGAGTAGAAGGTTGCAACCTCATATACACGAATGGGAGGAACTTCAATAACCTTAGCAACCTAGGACATCCAAAGGAATATAACTCAGAGTATCCTTTGACAATTAGACACTAGTCAACACAATGACTTCTCTTCCCCAATTACACTATAAAATTTGTAAGCATGGGCAATGAAACACATATCAATCAGAGTATCATTTGACAATGATAATGAGTTCTCTTCCCCAAATTTGACAAAGACATTGAATTTCACGACAGCGAGATTAAGGGAGTAAGGTGCCCTAGTAAAATAGTGTAAGACGAAAAAAAGCATAAGTTCAAGGATCACTGCAACATAAACAGAGATTGATTAAGAATCATGTCGCAAATAGCCAAGTAGAGCTGAAAATAGGTCATCAGATTCAAGTGAGAATTGCATGTTCCTGACCAGTGTCATCGAGTTCAGGTCAACCTAATGGGTTATGTACATTTATTTATAGAATACTTAAATTTTATATATATATATATATATATATAGGGGCTGGTTCATGTGAGAATGGTGCTTGGTAAAAGAAATAAGAATAAAGGAGAGTCATTCGATCAGTTGCATCCAACGGAGATCATTAAACAGAGATGAAATCACTAATATTCCATTTAAAAGGAAAGAATTAATTATAACGCACCAATTTAGGAGAAAGTTAACTATGAAGCGCATTACGGTAATACTATGTATCTTAATTAATGCATATCCAAACTTGATACCGTATGGTGTATTTAGGAGAATTTTATTATATTAAAATATAAAATTCATTTTATTTAATTATTGTACATAACCTTTCGCATACAAGTTCATTCTTGACAAATAATATGCCGTTGGAAATCTCTCGTCGAGATCTACCCAATGACACCAATGTTGAATATAAAATTTTTATATTTTTTCTTCTCACATTTCAAAGCTAAGTAAGAAAAGTACATTTATACATACTTTTTTCTTATATAATTTTTAGACTGTTTTTTTTGGGATGTTACAAACTCTCTTAATGCTACTCCTTTCGTCTAAAATGCATCTAATTTAGGAAATGATTTTAAATATCCACTTTTCCAGATTTATCTCGACAAGATGCACTCTGATGTGATGCTCATGCACTGTGATGACAGATATATGCAATGTGATTTGTTCTACAGATTTTATTCAAATTTCATTCTACTAATATATGGATTAGCCAAGAATGACTCCTGCATGACTTTATATGCGATGAAAAAGTCAGAGAATGCATTATATTCCAAATAATTGTAATATAAGTTTTGAGAAATAGTTTGCCTATGCAGGATTCGAACCCACATCTGTAGTACATACTGCTCTACCATTTGAGCTAATAGGTAAGGATTTGTTTTTTCAAAGAGACTCCCATCAATTGGACCTATTATATACATATTTTAATATATTAAAATTTGCATCATTCAACGTGTTTCCAACTCCATTCAAATGTATCAAAGAATGTGTTAAATGCATCGTTGTTTGCATAAAATTTTCGATTTAGAATATACAAATGCATCATCTTTGGTTAGAATGATTTCATCAAAATAGATGCATTTTACTTTGATTCTAAAAATGCGCTATAACAGGGAATACATTATCCTTTTATTTTGAGAATGCATTGTCTTCGCTTCTAAATGCACTACCTTAATTGTGATAATGCACAATAACATAAACTTTTTCATTAAAATTTTGTAAAAGACAAAATGGCACACAAGAGTGTTCACAAATAGTTATAGTGCACCAGGAAACATGCAAAACAGAAGCAGTTGATTGCACAGAAAATGTAAAATTATAAATTGTTTACGCAAAACCATGTCGAAGCGAGCACAAAGATAAGAGGCCCTCAACCTTTCCGCCGTTATCAGTTGATCAAATCAATTGCTACCGTTTTGGGGATTTTCAGTGTAGTTATGTTGCTTCTAATACGGAAGCCATAGAAAAATTGAAGCACAATGAAGAAATTGAAAAAGGTGCTATTGAAAATTGGATGGAACTTTTTTTCTTTGAAATTGAAGCACTATGGAGAAATTGGAAGAGGGGCCATCATTTTTTGTTTTGGCTCAATTAATTGGCTCAGATTTGGTCACAGCACCATGGCGGAGGTCAGGCTCTGATATATACTCATATACCACATGATGTAAATTGAGAAACACGCATGAAAAACTAAAATAATTATTCTTGTAAACTTCTACCCAACCAAAGTGATACTGTGTAAAAATAAAAAGTGTAGTCTTTGCATATTCAGATGCACTACTATATAACTAGAATGCAGTAACGTGCACAAAATATAAAATATAAAATGAAAAAAATTTGGACATCACCGATATTAAAAAGCTAGAAGAAGAATGCACAAAATGAAATCAAAATGCTAGAACCAAAAATAAAATATGAAATTGACCCAAAATAAAATTCTGGAAGTAGATTACACCAAATAAATCTTTGGGACATTTTATCAAACATGTAGCATGCAAACATAAACTCTAATGATTCAGCACTAATTTACACAAGAAATTGATTTAAATTATTTAAAAGAAAGAGACAAAAGAAAATAAAACCCAATTGTATTGGATGAAAGCAAAATCCAGCCACTACCATACCTTTCAATGATTTGTTTTAGCATTAATCGTCAATCGGATGCCAAGCTCTACTTCCTCCGTTGTCCTTGCAACTGCATCTCGCAACGCCAATTCACGCCATGTTGAAAGAAAGAATTCAAATCAGATATATATATATATATATATATATATATATATATATATATATATATATATATATACACATATATATGTATATATATATATATATATCTGTGTGTGTGTGTGTATAAAGCTATATTAATGTTATTTTTTGAACATTTGATTAATTTTTAGATAAATTATATTTAAGTAAATGTTATAAATGATAAAAAATTTTAAGCATGCACATTTATAAAGATGTAAGATAACAATATGATATCATCAAAAACACATATGGAAAGGTAAGTTTACACAATAAAAAGGAGTATAGGATATAATAAGCACTAGTTTTAGAATCACTCATTTTTCTTTTTCATGATGGATTTAGACTATCGAGGGTGACTCTGAACCTTTCACCGTAGAGGTGGGGTAACTCCAGGTCTGCCCTTATCCCTTCTTGTTCGCTCTGGTGATGGACATCCTGACGTTTGAAGTTCAAAGAGAGGTCCCATGGTGCCGACGATAATGTGCTGATTGATGACACCCGCGAGAGACTTAACAAGTTGGAGGCGCCTTTCCCTGGAATAGATTCAAATTGAGTAGGACCAAGACGATATTAATGGAATGTTGTTTCAGTGGTCAAGAGACAAAATATTGGGTGGAAGTTCGGATTGATTCTCATCCCGTGCTCAAGGTAGACAAGTTTCGGTATTTAAGGCGGATGGGGAGTTGGACGGGGATGTTGTGCATTGTGTTGGATCGAATTCGGAAAAGTGATGGTTGGCTTCAACATTTTGTGCGATAAGAAGATTTTGGCTAAGATGAAAGGTAAGTTCTAACAGTCTGTAGTCAGATCATCTATGTTGTATGGTGCGGAGTGCTGAGCAGATTAAAAAACTTACATTCGTTGACGGCATGTTGCAGAGATGCAGATGTTACGGTGGATGTGTGCACAGACAAGGTTGGATAGGATTCTGAAAGAGGTTATCCGAGGGCAGGTCGGCATGGCACCTGTGGAAGAAAAGTTGCTATAAGCTGCTAGATTGATGTGGTTTTGGCATGTGTGGTGGCAGGATGATGATGTCTTAGTGTGGAGACGCGAGAGGCTTACGTTGGTTAGCGGGAGTAGGGGAAGGGGTAGACCTAAGAAGTGTTTGGAAGGAGGTCATTAGACATGACTTAGGGCTTCTTACCCTTACTCAGGATATAACCTTAGATAGGAGTGTTTAAATAGCTAGGATTAGTGTAGTTGGGTAGACGCTTTGGGCTAGGTGGTAGTTTTCTAGACTTGTGTGCTTTGTATTCCTTATATGCTTGGTGCTCTCTAATTGCAGTATTTTTCTTCCGTTAACATTAGCTTGTCTTTGCATGTGTCTGCTTTGGATTTT